TTCTGCTCCCCCACTATCTCTTTGCTGCCTCTCGATCTCATTCTCGGCCTCTCCGTGCGCCGCTCTCCATCTTTCCTTCCGCTATCTGCTCACGGCTCTTTCTCTGCTCTCCCCCTGCCCTATCTCGGCTGAGCTCTCTCTCGCCTGACCGTGTGCGTGTGCGTGTGCGTGTGTGTGTATATGTGTGTGTTTGAGAGTAGATAGGGTTGTTTAGCGCTCAGCTATAATTTTTAATCGGCCTGTGTCGGACGGCCCGCCCAGTCAGAGCATAAATAACATCTAGGCGTTCGCATACAGAAGCGGCCGCGGCGTGGGCCGTTCATAACGCTGGAAATGATGTGGGCAGCGTCGGCGTACTAACACTGCTACAGAAGTCTAGCATTTACCGGCCCGCAGCCAACTGCCGTGACGCTTGCAGCCGTAACCGTGAAGGAGCCCTGGGCATGAGTGTGTCTATACTGACTCACGACGCCGTGCTGACATCGCGGCGCCACCATGGCCAAATCCTCGGGCCTCATTACGATCACCTATAAGGGTGCTTTCTGCACTAACAGTCATGGCAGGTCTATCCCGCTACAATTGTAAACCCATGTGTGTGTGTGTGTGTGTGTGTGTGTGTGTCGTGTGGCGTGGTGTGTGCGTGTGCGTGTGCGTGTGCGTGTGCGTCGTGCGTGCGCGTGCGTATGTTTAGTGTGTGTGTGTGTGTGTTTTGTGTGTGTGGCGTGGCGTGCGTGCGTGCGTGCGTGCGACGTTGCGTGTGCGTGCGTTAGCGTGTGTCGAGTAGTATATTATACGTGCTAATTCAGAGCCTTTAGTCGTCATTGTATTAGCCAGGTTTAATCAAAGTTTGCTCGCGGCAACAGCGCATAATAATTGCTGTAACGTAGTTGGTATATATATAATAGATATAATAATTTAATATATATATATATATATAGACACGGACGGAAGCTGCAGCATTGTGGTGCTTCCATTATGCTAACATTACACCGACTTCCAAAACGATGTATGTAAAAGATGTAGAATATGTAGTCACGTACGAAGTGTCTGGGGAGAGGTAATATATATATATATATATATGATTATATATATATAATATATATATATATATAACTAGCTGCGGGTACCCGCTGCGCTGGGTAAAATCGTGCTACTAATTCATACTACTATACTAATAATGGGACACAGTAGGAACCATTGGGTAAACATCGACAATGACATTGCACCGAATATCAATATTTAGAAATCGTCTAATAAGATAATAAGCATGAGGGGAAAAACTGTTACGTATGACATTTATATGACAGCACAACCCAACTTAGAACACCTGAGACATAATATTAATAGTAATATGGCTCATAGGGTCTATGTCCCCCAGTATACCGGAACGTACCCTGGTGGCTATTTGATAATGGTTAGTGTTAGGGTTGGGGTTGGGGTTAGGAGTAGGCGTAGGCGACTCCTAGACTCGTTTAGTGGAGTAGGCGAGGTACGGTCGGCATATTAGATAGTACAGGGTACGTTCCGGTATACCCCACCGTACCCAGGTAACGTTGCCGCAGTATCCCGGGGGGGGGGGGACATGCACACAGCCCTCTCAGCATGTAATATGGAGTAAATGACAAAAAGCTATTGTTATATACTAAGCAGATTAGCGAATGGGTTGGACTTTTCCGTTTGAAGAACTCTTGATAAACAATGTTTTTCGTGTTATTCTCTGGTGCAAATATGTAGAGATTCGTGGGCGGTAATCCAACTGTTAAGCCTCCCCACGTACAGCTATCCATTGTGAGATACGTACGCCGAAATAAAAGAATTCATATATAGTATAGATAGAGACAGGCCAGCGAGTGGGGTCTGTGTCCACTGGATATTGTCTAGTGAATGCTTGCGGTGCCAACCATGCAGGATTGAAATTAAGAAATTTTTGTATGAATCAGAAAAATCATAGCTTTTGGAATGGTACAATGCCATTCTCAATTGTCTCAAGCAATACGATGGTGCCTGAACATTGACAAATCCCCATTTTTCAAATATATTCACACAAGAGCAGTTTTCGTTTATATTTTATTTAGAAAAATTTATTCGTAATCATATTCCTAAGTCTTTCACAACCGATTCGTGTACATGCACGTGAATTTATCATCTTCACAATCATAATGAAACGCAATTAACTTAAGTGTGTACCGACCTAACGTAACAACTAATGGACGGTAAAAAAATCAATCTATGTTCCTTATAATTATAATGAACTGTAACAGTTACACATAGACGTAGTAGTTCACCTTTGTGACCGACTGATTATAACAAACTTATCTATCACCTATACGCACGTCTGTCTACTTGCCATGTATCGATATCATCATCGCTGGAAACACAATTGAAAGACGAATGTGGAGAACGCTTCTCACAGTCTCGTTTGTTTTTATTTAATTACCAGTTAATTATTTAACCTAATTATCATTCAACTAAACCAATAAAAATTATAATTAACGTATAACTACTTACGAGCTCGTCATTTATTTACACCTTTTTACGGCATCTTTTCATCTGTAACCACAGAAAACCTCTGCTAGAAAAAACGCACTACCTCAATCACATCCATTGAAAACCACAATTACATCCAAAAAACCGAACCACGATCAATTAAATACAACCACGAATGAAATCTGTACACACATGAATTGCTTTCCGAACGCGAATTGAATCGAATTAACTTCATTGAAAATACTGCCGCACGAAACACGCAACTCTTTCAGTTATCTGTAAAATAATAAATTGCCAAAGTTTCCTTAGAAATGCTGACCGACTCAAGCATTACACGATTCGCCAACAACAGCAAATAAACAACGGCAAAAAAAAAATGAACAAAAGGCACCACACCGAGCGAGCGAGGACGGGATCCACGTTCATAAATACCTATCTATACCTATAAAAGAAACGTACACGCGTTGTAATGCGACCGCGCAACCAGACGTGAGTCACGTGTACGGTTGTTTAGACGTTCGTGTGTTAGCCAGTGGTTGCGGCCACGGTCCCCCACATGACGGGCCGTCACATGCCAACAGACGCACTGGTCTACAGCAGGAGGAAAATGCCCCCGTGCTGGCAGCTTCCCGCCTCTCTCTCTCTCTACCTAAGGGAATGCGTGCACTCCGGCACGCACGTTTCCCCCAACCGCCTCCTCGCTACACATAAAACAAAACCTAATTATAATCGCTGGAGGTGATCACAACTCAACACCTCTTCGCAAGTAAAACAAAAACAAAGTAAAACAACAAAACAAAACAAAAACAAAACGAATAAAGTAATTTACGGCACCGGGTTAAACACCGGGTTCAACTGCGTGGCAGCTCAACTTAACCTCCTTAAAAAATCACCGTCAATTCTCACACACGTACTCCACTCCAGAGCAACATGGACGCCCCCTTATGGACGTGCACGTTCGAGGCTTTTTCCTGCGTGCATGATTTCCTGCTTTCAGGGGGACAGGTACAGATGTAACCGTATATATCTCATGCCTCCTACCAAACAGTGAGACCCACAAGTAGATTGATTCCACGGTCGCTGCTCAACCCAACATCTAACTTGTAGTAGCTACTAGCTGGAACTGTCGACGCGACGGTGACCGCATCTTACACGCATTTGTGGTAAGCAAAGTTCCAGGCGACAACAACAGCAACGTGACAACAACAACAACAACAACAACAACAACAACAACAACAACAACAACAACAACGGCAACAAGCCCGCGACGTGCGCTATACCACGGACGGATAACCCAGCTACAGCCGTCGCCAGCCAACCTAACCCTCTCACTCATGTGTCAGTGTCGCATCGCGTGTGCGGACACGTGACATCGAGTTACGATGCACACCCGCATGTGGTCGCTCGGCCAGGCTTCTCACGTCGGTGTATCAGTCGCAGATTCTACATCTCACGTTGGCGTTGGGTCAGGTCACGCCGTGGGGTCAGGTCACGACTGGCTTTCACGCTGGCATTGGTTGGCTCGCTGATTCAGGTCGCGAGGTCACTGCGGGGTCGGGTCGTGAGGTCGCCGCTTCAGGTCGCAATGTTATGGCGGGGTCGGGTCGCGAGGTCACTGCGGGGTCAGATCGCGAGGTCACCAGGGGATCAGGTCGTGAGGTCGCCGCTTCAGGTCGCGAGGTCACGGCAGGGTCGTTGGGTCGTCCACGGCGGCGCTCCACGCAGAGTTCTCGCAGCTCTGCTATGCGTTCGCCGACGCAGCTCGCTGATAACCTCGCCTCGGGTTCCGAATCCCAGCACTCCTCCACTGTCGTCACCACCCTCCCCAGCTCCTGCAGCGAGAGATAAGACGCACGCTAGCATAAACCTCTATAGAAGGGCCACCTGCCTATAAGGGACATTTTTGGTGCTTATACCTTTTGTGGCAGTTATACAATGGCAGTTATACGATGCGGATCCTGCAGCGAGAGACGAACGCGATACCATACACCTGTATAGAAGGGCCACCTGTCTATAAGGGACACTGATGGTGCTTACCTCGAGTGGTAGTTATACGGTGACACCCCTTCTATGGAATTATGTGGATACCACTTGTCTATAAAGGACATTTTTAGCATTTCCCTGGAGTATCAGTTATACAGTGAAACAACCTCTATAGAAGGGACACCTTTCCATAAAGGACACTTGCCGATTCCCTCGAGTATCAGTCATACAGTGATGGCTACGATAAGCTTCCTATCATGTAAGGAGCCACCACTTACACTGCCTCTAGCTATGAGTGTTCGTAGAACAGATAAACAAGCAGATGCACTCACTATATGTTTGCGCCACGCCTCCTTTATGTCTGGTCTCACATTCTGCAGAACGACAATTTTTCTGAGGTCGACAAAACTAGGCTGCAAGCCAGCCTCCTTCTGATATGGCAGTGAATATTCCCCAACCGACTCTAAAAGTAAAAGTACAATAGACATGTTTAGAATGTGGAGAAATAATGAGAACAATGAAGAAAAAAAAAGAAAAATAATAATAATATATATATATAAATATGGTGCATAAACCCATCACATTCAATTCACTCAAAAGTACTCTCCTGAAACTCTACAAACTGAAATATCTGCCAATCGTGCTCCCGGCCATTGGCACTTGAATAGAGCAGTGTGGGGGTTTAACATAGTTTTCCCCAGTAGTGGCATTAGCACTGTGTGAAGGGCATGTAACAATGCCATTGTTGACCCTGTATCCCCTATAGCTGGTACGTGACCTTTGGTAGCTGTGTGCCAATTACTATGACCTTCAAAGCTTTACTGTCCACTGCATGACCTTCCAACTATTGCGATAATAGCTTCTCTGTGCCTCTTCTTTTTCTATACTGACCATGCACTAACCTTCAGTATAAATAAGTTGTATAGCCACCTATGCATTGAGCAATATTGACCTTCACTAGCCCAGTTCTGAAAGCTTACACCTATAGCATATCTGTCAACTCCGTATTGAGCAGTACTGAAGGTGTAATCAATCCCACCACAAATCTGATGAAATATTCAGACAAACTTTCAGGTAGTATTAGAGATTCGAGGGATACGTGCGCAGTGCGCAAGTTTTGTAGCTACGATTGAAACCACATATAAAACAGCATTTAAAAAAAATGCAAGCTGAAATTTTTGGGATTATTCAGTATTCAAGCTCAAATTAGACAGCATTCAAGATTCGTGGCGAGGGTGGGCAGGGAAGAAGGTAAAGTTACACCCTCAACTCTGACATTCAACAGTCCATCGGCAGTGACAAACCCTTACTACCCGCACACTCCCCTTCTCCCCTCCCTCCCCTTCTCTGTCTTCTCGCCTCCCTCCCCCTTCTCTGTCTTCTCGCCTCCCTCCCCCTTCTCTGTCTTCTCGCCTCCCTCCCCCTTCTCTGTCTTCGCCTCCCTCCCCTTTCTCCTGTCTTCTCGCCTCCCTCCCCCTTCTCGTCTTCTCGCTCCCGCCCCTTTCTCTGTCTTCTCGATCCTCCCCCTTCTCTTGTCTTCTCTGCCTCCCTCCCCTTCTCTGTCTTCTCGCCTCCCCCCCCTTCTCTGTCTTCCGACTCCTCCCTTTTCTCTGTCTTTCCCGACTCCCTCCCCCTTCTCTGCTTACTCGCCTCCCTCCCCTTCTCTGTCTTCTCGGCCTGCGCCTCCCCCTTCTTGTCTTCTCGCCTCCCTCCCCCTTCTCTGTTCTCTGCCTCCCTCCCTTCTCTGTCTCCTATCGCCTCCTCGCCTTCGCTTTCTCTCGCCTCTTCTCTGGCTCTCCTCCCTTTCCCTTCTCCTGTCTTTCGCGCCTCCCTCCCCCTTCTCTTGTTCTCTCGGCTCCCTCCCCCTTCTCTTGTCTTCTCGCTTCCTTCCCGTTCTCTGTCTTTCGCCCTCCCTCCTTCTCTGTTTCTTCTCGCCTCCCTCCCCCTTTCTCTGTCTTCTCGCCTCCCTCCCCTTCTTTGTCTTTCGCTCCCTCCCCTTCTCCTGTCGTCTCGCCTCCCCCCCCCTTCGTTGTCTTTTCGCCTCCGTCAACCCTTCTCTTCTTCTCGCCTCCCTCCCCTTCTGCGGTCTTCTCGCCCTCCGCTCAACCCCTTTTCTGTCTTCTCGCCTCCCTCCCACCTGTTTCTCGCTCCCTCCCTCCTGTCTGCTCGCCTCCCTCCCCCTTCTCTGTCTTCTCGCCTCCCGTCCCCTTCTCTGTCTTCTCGCCTCTCCTCCCCCTCGTGCTTCTCCGCCCTCCCTCTCTTCGCCTGCCCTCCCTCCCTTCTTGTTTCTCGCTCCTCCCCCTTCTCGTCTTCTCGCTCCCCTCCCCCTTCTCTGTCTTCTGCATCCCCCTCCTTCTTCTGTCTTCTCGCCTCTCTCCCCTTCTTCTGTCTTCCGCCTCCCTCTCCCTCTCTGGTCTTCTCGCCTCCCTCCCCTTCTCTGTCTTCTCGCCTCCGTCACCCTTCTCTGTGTTCTCGCCTCCCTCCTCCTTCTCTGTCTTCTCGCCTCCCTCCCCTTCTCCATCTTCTCAATCGAGCGTTTGCTTGTCCGTATACTGACCTTGGGAAGCGGTGCAGCGCGCCATCGTCTCCCACATCACGAGCGCAAACGCGTACATGTCTATCCTCAGGAACGCGTCCTGCTGGAAGCAGATGGACCCTTCCAGGAGCTCAGGAGCCATGTACCGGAACGTTCCCACCTAGGCACGCCGGGAAAAATAACCGGGAACATTTCTAGAAGGGTGGCGTGATACGGTGTTGGTCATGGCAGTCTGTCTTCCCCACCCCGCGGTCCGTAAGTACCCTGTCGCGACCAGTAACCTTTGCGCAAGACTTTTTCTTATGGAATTTGAGTATAGGTTTTACCAAGAGCTAATAATATTTTAACACGTATTATTTGCTCTTGGTTGTATAGTAGATATTAAATTAGCCCCGTGGATTTTACGACAGATACTCTCTCTCACCCGCGCGTGCATGTTTCCGATCGGGCGCTCGTCCCGGAACACCATCGCCAGTCCGAAATCCGCGATGCAGGCGGTGAGGTCGTTCTTCAAGAGAACGTTCGTACTCTTGAAGTCACGGTGGGCGATCGACGGCTTGCACCGGTAGGTGGCGCCCCCCGGCAGCTCCTCGTGTAGGTAGGCGAGCCCGGCGGACATTGTTTCGACGATCTTGCAGTACTCTAGCAGAGTCACTGTGTGCTTCTTAAGGTAGTCTCCCAACGATCCGATCTCGTAGAAGGAGGTGACCAACCACAGCTCTGTCTGTTGGTTGTAGCAGCAAGAGTGGACACCGACAAACCTGAGAAAGGTAACAGAGAAACAGTCAAACCGGCACGACCACAGCGCGTAAATGATGAAACTCGTGGGTTAAAGATTTTAGCGAGATCAAAGGCACAAAAAAGAACAGTAGGAATACACACCCAATGCATTATGCTTTACAGTTGACCACACCTCATCGCAAAACAAAAATGTTGACCATTCAAAAGCAAATCAAATCGAATTTAATAACTTCACGATCATTACAACACGTTTAAAAATCAACCGAAACAACGCAAGTTTGCATTCACCTGACAACGTTCGCATGAGACATACGAATCGATCTGTATAGACATACGCTTTACAGTTGACTGCACGCAATCACGAAACTAAGACGTGGATCATTCAAAAGGAAAATCGAATTCAAACGTATAAAACGATTATTATTCCGACGCGCGTCAAGAACGCCGGAACGTCGCGTCGCGGGAAACACGTTCACCTGACGACGTTCGCGTGAGACATCTGCGGCAGACGGAAGATGTTCAGCTCCTGCGTCCACGAGTTGCGATCGTGAAGAGGAAACAGCTTCACGGCGACGTACTCCTCCCCCATGCGCGCCTTGAACACGGCGCCGTAGCGACCCTGAGACACCATCGCAATCAGACGGATGTCTCCGCGACCGCCGCAGAGCCCATCGAACGAAGCGCCGACGTTGGGGAGCGCCACCGTCCCGCCGCCGCCGCCCTTGTTGCGACGGAGACGGTAGAAGGAGGAGACGGCGATGAGGAAGATGCCGAGGAGGAGGAAGGCGCTGAGAGCGTAGACGTAGCCCGGATTCTGAAGCCGCTGCCCGACGCCGTCGGTGTCTGAAAAAACGCGGCGTGCGTACAACGCATTAAGCAAGGGTATGCATGGAAAAGCAACGAGCGTGACCACCACAAGCGTATACGAGCGTGCCAGGGAGAACAAAGTTTCAAATGACTCGTTATTGTAAATTGAATATCATTAGGTTAATATATATATATATATATATATCAATATGTCAATGGCAGTCCCCTTCCCAGAACACACAAACATGGCTCCCCCCCCCCCAGGAAATTTTTTTTAGCTATGCTCCTGATATACATACATATCAGGAGCGTATAATGACAAATTATATTGTCATTTTGTCAATCATTTTGTCAATCATTTTGTCAATTACAAAGTATTTGTCATTATACGCTCCTGATACATATATATATATTCATGTATATACACACACAATATATATAACTGTGTGCTGCATGCTTACATGCTGAGCTAGTGACTCTGACGTTCGACGTGGAGGAGGCCAGGCCGACAGTGGACGGCAGTGTCGTGGTCTCCGCGTGCGACAGCCGAGACTGTTCCTCTTCAGCCGCTAGCAAGCGATCCAAGAGAATCCCGTTGCAGTTGTTTCCCTTACAGCAGTGAAAGCATCCGGCCTCTGTGCAGTGCTGCAGAGAAAGAAATCATATATAGCAGATCTACAGTTTTTTTCCCTTGATTGATTCGCACGTCACCTGTGATATTATATACATTATATATAATATAATATAATCATATATATATTACACCTTAAATGTACACAATGGCAGGATAACATCACGCAAGCATGAAAACAGTCACAATAGTGTAGAAGTATATTTTAGCCTGCACTCTACAGAAATCCAATTCTTATTGGTCACACACACGTATAAACATACATGTATACACACACACACACACACACACACACCTTGCTGGGACAGTCTGGTCTGCCGGCGTGGTTCGACATGCAGTCCATGGCGCCGACGTTGATCTTGCCTGCGCTCTTAAGATACCACACGTAGCAGTGCGTGAAGCGAGCCTTCTCACAGACCCTGACGTCGGCCACGCAGCCCCTGTCATCCGACTTCTGGCAAGCATAACACGTCTCCGTTTCGTTGCCCATCTTGGGGTTACTTCATCTGCCAACACAGTATAGAAAATTCGCAATCTTCCGACCGAATATCCAACTAACTTGTGAATCATTGCTGCGTGTGTATGCTGTAAGTCAATTCGAATTCCTTCACGGATCAAAACTGTAAGACATAACACAGATGAGTTTACGACAATTTAATAATTGAAAAATGCCACAAAGAATATGAGAAGAAATTATAGTGTGATATATTAATTATAGCAAAACATGCACAATCATTCCATAACATATGGGCAAAACCACACACACTTGCACACTTAGGTGAGGGTGGCCCTGTCACTTCACTTGGAAATTGAATAAACGCTCATAACACAACATAATCCTGTGAGCCGTGTATGCTAATGATTTCTATGTACACAACTGTACATGTACACGTGCACTGTGATTGCTACTGTACTGTACTGTATCTACAAGGTGATTTTTTTCTTGATAAAAAATATGTCAATATAATGAATATATGCGCCACGTATAACTTCCGCTACATGCGCCTATACGTGCTCCATCAGTTTACATAAAGCGTATAGTTGTTCTTTCATGAAACTTAATTGAAAAACGCAGTAATTAATGCACGGAGAATTTTTGAGATATTACATTTGTATAGCACGTACGTACACCACTAATCACGTCACGCCATGTAGCTGCTGAAACTGCACCAAAACTTCTCCTATTTATACTTTAACAAGAAAAAACATGCACTAGAATTTATAGCTATATAATTACAAATACAGGAACATCTAACTTACGTGTAAAGCAATGTGCATACATATATCTTTCGCTTGTTTGCTGTCAGAACGCAATTCTAACTGCTCCATGATATCCAAACTACAACAATGCGTGTTTCAGTACACTGGAATGCATGCGGCAATGAACGACTCTCATTGGCCAATGCTCTGAAAAGAAAAGCAGAGGTGAACAGGAGGTCATTAGGGCCAGAAGCATTAGAGGTCAGGAGGTCAAGACCTGATGTCATGGAAACTGTTTTAACTTTTAATTTTTTTTATGAATAAAGCTCAGATTTTTACTTGATTAAAAAAATTCATCTTTGCAATAACGTAATTCAAAGGTACGTCTTAGAATAAAATACTGCAAATAAGAAATTTCATGGTCAGAATCCATCGGTTTTAAACGCGTTCTCTAAAAAATCACTCTCACGCCTCCGTCTCCACAGTCACTGAACACTGCTTTCTAGAATTCCTGAATCCGTCCCCTCCTAAGTGTATGTGCAATATTGGAATATTGTAAATGTATTAAAAGTGTAAAGAAAACGTATTAACGAAAACTGTGTTAAAGTTGGGATATTGTTTCTACCTCTTCAATACATTACAAAGATGCATTTGTGCTCAACATGCTCCACACACGCGCGCGTGCAGACGCACGCACACGCACACACGCACACACAAACGCACGCCCCCCCCCCACACACGCGCACACACACATACGTAAGAACGCACCATGATTACGAAAAAAATGCTTGTCAGATATATTACTGAATACGCCTATAGGTTCTTGAACTCAAGCGCTCGCTAACGCTATACGTGTGTATATATATAATATATATATATACTATAAACAAAATAGTATCAAGAGTATCTCCTGAGAGTATGTAACTCCTATATCAACGCATGTGTTTAAGCAGACAGTAAAACTGATCTCGTCCTGCCATCTATCGGAGGAGGTTGAGTAGGTTAAGTCAGCGATAGAGAAACTAGAAATAACGTTATAAGTTACCAAACAGGATGATATTTAGGCGCGAGATGAATTACTTCTTTGTTTGTTTTCCTTAATTTGTTCAACTTTGTTTTGTTTTGTTTTACTTACGATGAGAGATTGAGATGCAATCACCTCTAGCGGTTATAATTGAGTTTTGTTTTATGTGTGTAGCGAGTAAAGGCGGTTGGGGGAAACGTGCGTGCCGGAGTGCATGCATTCCCTCAGGTAGACGGAGAGGCGGGAAGCTGACATCACGGGGGGGGTCCTCCTGCTGTAGACCAGTGCGCCTGCTGGCATGTGACGGCCCGTCATGTGGGGGACCGTGGCCGCAACCACTGGCTAACACACGAACGTCTAAACAACCGTTTATGTGACTCACGTCTGGTTGTGCGGTCGTATTACAACGTATATAGGTTTCATATATATATATATATATAATATATATATACCAGGAGCTATATAATGACAAATTATCTGTCATTATTTATATTATATATATATATATTGTTATTTATATGTATTATTTGTCATTATTAGGCTCTCCTGATATTATATATATATATATATATATATATATAATATATATATATATATATATATATATATATATATATA